CAACAAGCATCCTTCAGAACATCAATATCAATTCCAACATGTTACCCCTGCCATCACACTTTTCAAGGCTAAAGTTACCTGAACAAAATTTGCTGAACCATCACTGACACTTATGAATGTTCAAAACATTTCCATAAACTTCTTTGATATTCTTTGTGGTTACAGAGGTGTTGTTTTCCTTCTTGTATTCAAACATCATTACATGCCATTTATGTGTCTCTTCGTGTGCCATCACTGTAAGGGAATAGAGTATACTAAATTTTACACATTATATAGGCTACACTAACGTGACGTTTAGGCTGTCCTTTTAACTATCATATGTGATGTACATTTTTTGTGGGATGGTTAATGAAAGTGTTCCAAAATGCGACATTAATTTTTTGAAGACTTAATACAAAAATTGATTCATAATTGACAATTTCTAAAATTGAAAACTTTTCTTAATTTCTAGTATGTTCAATTGAGAGAACATTTGTAAGCAGTTAGTGGGCTCACAAACTGTAGCCAGTAACTACAGCTTTAATAGATTTTAATATGAAGTTTATCTGTCATGCAATTCAGGGGATGTTAAAAAAAAAGATATGTCAAAAGACATGAGATATATTGAAGTTTCAATTTCAGGTTTATTTAAATATAGGTAACTGTACTGACACCATGAAACTGAGAAGTATGTTAAGAGGCAGATGATCAGCTAAATAATAAATAATAAAGCCAATTTTTTTTATCAAGTAACTGTACTCATATTTTGAACTCCAGGTGAAAATATGAGCAAATAATATCAAGATTAATTGTTAGAAATATGTGCTGCCATCCAAGATACACTAACAGATATTAGTTCAGTTACGTACATGTCAAAGTGTCAATTTTTTAATAAATTGCACTTATACTGATTAGTAAACCTATCCAAAAGAAAAGCTTATTATGATAAAAAAAATACCAGTTTGTTAAGTACTCATACTTAAATTTAGAATTTTGGTAGGATCTAAGCTTATTTGTTAAGTAACTGTTATTGTGTATAGAACTGTAGCAACTAGTCAGAAGACAAACCTATAAAAATCATAAGGTTTATTTAGTAAATAACCCTACTTACATTTGAAACTGTGGCAACATGTCAGCAGGTAAGGCTACAGCTAAATCAACTAGCTTACAAGCAGAAAGATACAGTTGTAGCCATGCTGGGTTGTTATGAGCATTTAATCCATTGCTTGTACTGGTCACCCACGAGCTGTCAAGAGTTGAGAGACGACGAAGATGTGAGCTGCAAAAAAAGAATTTGGATTTTTCACTATAAAGGACTAATAAAGCTTACTTACATCATTTCAAAACAACATTAAAAACAGGAACTTTTAATTCTTCCTTGTGTGCAACAACAAGGTTTAAAGAAGTTATATTCTAATCAAATATGTGATGTTAATGAAATAATAAGTAAAGATTAGGTTTCTTAAACACATACAAGATACTCTACACCTAAAGAAAGCTCCAAATTTAGACTACTGGTCTAAAATTGTTAGATATTTATGTTTACAGAAAATACCTTTGAAGCTCTCTAAATTAACAATAAATATACAATTCAAACATAATAAAATCGAGATATTTGTATTTTACGCTAAGTATTATGAACTACATACCTGTACAAAACTACACACATAAAGCTGATTACAACAGCTCATATAGATGTATCTTTACATGTAAAAAAAACCCTAAAATTATCATGCTTACAATTTTAGGAGCAAATAGATTTGGAATCCCACAAGTATATGATGAAACCATCAGCAACAGTGCACTCTATCAAAACTTACTATGAGCAAATAAACCTTCAGCTCCACAAGTATAAAGTGAAACCATCAGCAACATTGCAAATTATCAAAACTTACTCTGAGCAAATAAACCTTCAGCTCCACAAGTATATGGTGAAACCATCAGCAACAGTGCACACGATCAAAACTTACTATGAGCAAATAAACCTTCAGCTCCACAAGTATAAAGTGAAACCATCAGCAACATTGCACACTATCAAAACTTACTATGAGCAAATAAACCTTCAGCTCCACAAGTATAAGGTGAAACCATCAGCAACAGTGCACACTATCAAAACTTTCTAAGAGCAAATAAACCTTCAGCTCCACAAGTATAAGGTGAAACCATCAGCGACAGTGCATTCTATTATTCACAGTGTACGTGTTTATGTGCTCTTGTTGCATTACATAAAACATGTAAGATTTATCATGCAGTTACTCATAGTGTACAAGTTCATGTGTCCTTTTTGCATGACAGAACTTGTAGGTTTCACCATGTGGTTATTCAGAGTGTACAAGTTCATCTGTCTTTGTTGCATGACAGAACATCAACAATTCTTGCTCATTACATCCTGAATTAAAACTAAAAATTTCTTCAAAGTTTGTGGAACCAAGTATCTCAAGTCCATGAAAGTCTAATGAGGCCACCATTGAACCAACAGAATTTAATTTATCCACTCTTCCTAAAATTGTAAGCTTATCTTTATTTAATATCAGTGTTGTTGAGAAAACAGGTAAGGAAGTTTTAACAATATTGTTTACTGTTTAATTTTTGACAGACTATAAACAATTAAAAAGCAATTCTTGCAACATGCAGTCTTTGAGTCAAAATATACTTTTTTCTAATATTCTTCTTTAGACTTGTTATGAATTGTAGATATATTTATTTATCAAACCACTCCTATGTCAGTGGTGCATTTACACAAACTAAAGAGATTTGTGATACAAAAACTGAAAAATGTTTTCACAGTTACATTTTGAGTTGAAGGTTGATATCTTGGAGAAATCATAGTACAGACACATCACCATAGGGGTAGATAGATGCGTCAGTAATATGCACTATTTCTAATATTGACATAAAACTATAAGTTTAAATACATTTTAATAGATCAGCCAGCTTCTTCATGGGTTTTAAGTACATTTTGACAGATCACCCAGCTTCTTCACGGGTTTTAAATACATTTTGACAGATCACCCAGCTTCTTCACGGGTTTTAAATACATTTTGACAGATCACCCAGCTTCTTCACATGTTTTAAATACATTTTGACAGATCAACCAGCTTCTTCATGGTTTTTAAATACATTTTGACAGATCAACCAACTTCTTCATGGGTTTTAAATACATTTTGACAGATCAACTAGCTTCTTCATGTGTTTTAAATACATTTTGACAGATC